CCAGCGTACTCACCAGACATAGCGCCTTCTGATTACCACTTGTTCAGATCGATGCAGCACGGCTTGAGTGGTACACGCTTCCGAAATGTTGAAGAAGTGCGAGAATGGGTGGACGAATGGATTGCTTCGAAACAAACATCGTTTTATCGAGATGGTATCGCCCAGTTGCCAGAAAGATGGCAAAAAGTTGTAGAAAGTGATGGAAAATACTTTCATTGAAATAATTTAAATACATTTTTTACAATAAATGCTTTTTCTCAGTATTTTTTGGGCGGAAACTAAGTTAAGGTCCTAATAATACGACTTTACGTGATGTAAATGTATTTCTAAGGAAAATTTAGGTGAACACATAGTTGCCCGAAGAATCATCTAAGGTTCCCTCGATTCGTATTTTTTTTCTTCTTCTCTTGGGAAAAGTAACCCAGGTAGCGTGTTGGAGACAGAATAATTTTGAAAGTGGTTTTACATGCAAATTAGGTCTATTAAAATATCAGAATATAGCTTACACAGCATATAAAAACGCGAGTGCCGGGGCAACTCTCTATCCGTCAAATCATAAGCCGCTCCGAGCTATTACGTGCGTGCGTGTTTCTTCATGAATTATTAGAATTAATGAGTTCGCACACATTCCTTGCTTCCACAATGTTACGCCGGCCAAATATAATGTGCGACGAGGGGAAATTTTAGAGTAACAAAGAGTTCGTTTCATTACTTTTTTTCTTTGCGTCGCGACGTTCATTAAGCCGTTAATGAGCCACTGTTAAACCACAAAGTTGTAATTATATGATTTACACAAACGGCACGTTCCGATGTGACGCGCGGTCAAATTTTCTCGTTCAGTCGTTCCGTCGCCGATCAAGAGTCGTGGTATTCGCGAGAATGAGTAATTTTTATTCTCTTTCTTTGTGACGTATCACGAACGGGAGGAACTGACGAGAAAGATTAAGAAAATACTTGGTAGTGCATTTGCAGTTACACGAGTAGCAAATAACCGTCATCATTAGACCATGGCGTGCGAAGCGGCGTGGGTCGACTAGCGCCTTACACTTGACACACCGAATCAGCAGCGAAACTTTCTTACTTGCGGAGATTTCCGAGTCGATAATCGATGGAGATTCTCGGACGGAAAACAGAATAGCGTGGCTAAAGCGAGCTGGAAGTGGGTAAGTTGTAGAACGAAATGTTATCGTGCACCGGATTGTCGGCAGGGGTTGAACCTGGCGAAGGGGAAGCCTTGAATGGGGAAGCCAACGGGAAGGGGTACGAGGGTGGCGAGAATAAGGGAGAAAGAGAGAAAAGGACGAGAGAGGGAGAGAGAAAGAGCGAACGCGGAGGGTCTAGGCGATATAAGAAGGGGATGCGTCAATTCGTTTTCTTGACCTCGACAACAGGCGGATTGATTCTACGTTTAGCTGTTTCTCTCATATCAACTGGCAGCGCAGAAAGCGCAGAAAGCCTCCAATATACTGATCTCTTCTTTCCAACAAAAAAGTAACATCCAATAGTTCATTCGCGCCTCGTCCAGCCGACCCTCGGTCAATTTTCTGATATCGATTGGTGCGGAATTGTATCTGCTCGCGGTTATCTGAAAATTTTTTACGTCGCAACGCGCACATCGCGCGCAAACATCTCGGAACAGTTTCATTGAAATTCGGCGTTGTTCAGCCGAGGTGAGGCATCGCGCTCTTTTCTTTGTATCAACTTCGAAGCGCCTACCCCAACGATATCGCGAGTCAAGTGTTTCCTTTGGGATTTTCTGCTTTCAGCTCTCCGCGTTTATCCCCACCGACGACGACGTCGACGACGCCGACGATTTCGCTCGGCCGCAACTTCGAGCGTCTCGCTTCCACTTGCGGCCGCTAGAATTCTCCCCGTTCCTCCCTCCTACCCCGCCGGTTCCTCCAACCCTCTCTTTCACCTACCCTCCGTGTTTCCGAGGCGGCAAGCAAAGAACTCTCCTACCCTCGGGCAGCTCACACTGATTTTCCACCCTCGTCACCCTTCCCGTCCACCGCCGTCGCCCCTCTTCCTCTACCTCTGCCTCCTCTCCACCCCCGAGCTCACGCCGTCACTCGTAGTCACGCCGCCAACACGTGCTCCTGTTTACCTCTCCAGTCATATGGTCCGGGAGATGACGCGACGCATTCAACGACTTCGCCGTTTAGTCACAAATATATATCGGCATATTTATATAGAGGCGGATTTTTCTTCGTTATTCGCGCGATGTCGGTGGTGTGTATGTGTATGTGTGTGTGTGTGTGTGTGTGTGTGTGTGTGTGTGTGTGTGTGTGTGTGTGTGATTTTTTAGTAAAAATATTGCTTCAGGAGAGATCAACGGGAACGTGAAGCGCAGGTGTACACATATAATAATCAAAGATAACGATGCAAACCCTATTGCGATATCACATTATTTATGAACCATTAACACGTCGGTCTTTGGATTTTATTTCGGTCTCTTCTGCAAACTCTGATCGTCCATTTTAGATAGTGCGCTCTGGCGTAGCGCTGTGCTCTGATTGCAGATATTGTTCCTCGTATATATTATGCAAGATGAATTTTTTCCTCAGCAACTGTGTGTCGTTGCGCTTCGTTACTGATTATTGTCTTGATGTTCATGTCGAAATCAATACTATTTCTCTTTTTTCACAAAATCGTTCTTTAGATAACTCAGTGAATATTTTCCAAAAAGTAATTAAATAAATTAATTAAACATGGATGTCGAGATTTATTAACTAGACACATACGTATAATAATTTCACATAATTTTATTACTTTTTGAAATAATTTAATTTCTCTCTTTTCTTTCAAGCTAAATAAATTCATCTTTTATTTTATATTCGTCCTTATGAACTACACACATAAATTAAAGCATAAAAAGAATATTATATCAGATATTTTTTAAATAGCCTTTGTGGGCGCTTGTATCGCACTTCTGCTAACCGTAATAATAATTACCGCGAATATTGCGCCTTTCGTATCTGATATGACAGCAACGTAACGTTGATTCTGTATGTTATCAGCTGGCATAAAGGACGGTAAAGATTAAGAACCTTGCTCAACTACATTACACTTACACGCTTAGCTGATCCTTTAATTAGCATTTCCAGGTCACACACTCGACCGTAGACGCGAATATACGCGCGGGCGCGCATAATTATCACGCTAATTATTAGTACCTAGCTAAGTAGTTGGATGAAATTATCACCGGAGTTGGAGTGACGCGCGTAGAACGAAAACGCGGCTTTCGATCTCTCGCCAACAGGATTCCCGTGTGACCAGCTTTGGTAGTGAGGAACTTCCTTAATTACGGAGATTAACTTAATGGTATCGAACCAACGATTATCGTTCAGAAAGCACGCAATTGCCGCCTGGATATGCGCATGTCAGTGGAAGCAGATAAATAGACCTCAAAGCAGATCTATATATAGATCTTACATTTAAATTTTTCCCATCGATCGCTCTGAGCGTAGTTCCAACACATTGAACCGATGTTAAATTTAACGAGTCAATAGTACGTACGATCCCGCGGCTAAAGAAATGATTCGACACAGTCCTCGCTTCCTCCGCGGTCTTCCTCGAGATCACGACGCGCGCGCGATACGTAGAATGTGAAATTAATTAATTAATTTTCATTCCGATATCCATTCCCAAGGTATCTTTAATGCTTTTAATTCTCACGTGTGTGTACATGCGCAGGCGCGTCCGTACGCGCGGGGGGTACGATCGTTTGTGAGTGTGCGAGCCTATACACGTGCACCGCAGACCGAAGCGCATTTAGAAGGCCCATCTAATTACTAAGATTAACCTGGGCTTATAATAAGCAGGAGCGAACTCGTGCCTGACACTCACCTGAGGCGATCTGTGACTGATGTATTTGGGACGTCGTCCTGACGTGGGTTTATCTAGCGGCTGTTATTTATCTCCGCCACGGTGCAATTCCGTCGCGGTCGTACCGATCTCGCGATTAGCCGTCTGTCTTGGCTCTCTCTCTATCTCTCTCTCTATCTCTCTCTCTCTCTCTCTCTCTCTCGCTCTCTCGCTCTCTCCCTCTCTCTCTCTCTCTCTCTCTCTCTCTCTCTCTCTCTCTCTCTATCTTCTTCTATTTCTTTCGCTCTTTCTCCCTCTTTTCTTCTCGTCCCTTCTTTCGATACCGCGCTTTACACCGACTATATACGACGACTCGCTCCAACTCCCTCCGAGACTCTCCTGTTGCTCCCTCGTTTCGTCTCGCTCGCTCGTTCGCAAGTTTCACGATCTCCCGGTGATTTTCCTACGATGAATATCAAATGCAGAAGGTCCCGACAGCAGTGGTGGATCAGTGTTGAAAAGCGGACGATTCACTGATATATCCGCCGCCGATGACATCAGCCTACTTAATTACTGCGAATAATTGCGAGTAATTAGGAGTGATTAAGAAGCAAACAGCTAATTGGGCGCGGCTCGATAAAGCGCTGCTTGGTCGTCGGTACCACTTCGTTGCCTCGTGACCACGTTGAACGGACGACTGGAAGAAAGCGACGTCTTTGGCGAGTCTGATGGGGTATCGAGTGGTAGGTAGAGAGATCTTGTCGGATTAACCTAGGCCCCGGATTTGATTCTCGTGAAACGCTCGATCTCGTCAACGAGCAAATCTAATCGGCAGATAACACCGCTTTCCGCGTAATGCGCTTTTAATTATTCTATTTGTGCGCGTCAACCGTGCACTTCGCAATTCTGTATCAGTGCGCAACGTGTAATTCCGCAATGAAAAACACTGACGTGTCTTTGCACAGTGGTCACGCGCGTGTCGTAATTACCAGCGCACCCGTCGCGATAATTAGAAGCTTATTAGAGCCGGAGTCCTTGTCTCATCGCCTTCTGTTGTTCAGCGACGATACACTCGCCGCTCGAGGACGCGCTTCTCTCTTCTCCCGGATCGTCAATTCACTCACGCGAGACACCCGTCGGGCTCTTTATCGCCGTACGATTAATTATGTCCCACCTGTTTCCTGCACCGCGATTCAACGTTCCCGCGCACGCACCCCCCAATTTATGACAGGAGCAAAGGGAATCGGAACGATCGGCGCTTCAAGTGCTGGGGTAGACAGAGCGACGCGTGAGACTCGCCAAGAAAATCGATTCTCCGCTGATTTTTCGACCGAACGTCTCACTTAAGTGGCTGTCACAAAGTTCACTGCGCTGAACTGTCCGCGAGGCGCACCAAAAGAAGTCCCACCCCTGCGGCCACGTGCTGACAGGCCGGACGAATCGGCGCACGCAGCTGCACGCTTAACTCCCTTATCACTCCCTAGTCCACAAACACTTGCTTTTCACCGGCACGTCGCGAGAGATTCTCGCCGAGGAGGTTTTCGATCGCTCGATCTTACTCTTCAGCCTCTCCCTCGACGATTAGCTCGAATCTTCCAATTCCACGGATAGAGTCGTCTCGCTCGTGATCAACACCGTGACGATCGAAAGATCCCAAATTCCCAAACGCACGCGTCCAGTGTAGCTCGGAGAAAAAGGCGGGCGATCCACTTCTCCTCGTGCTGTCGTTGCTGTCGGCAGCGTGGTCGTGCACGTTGCGCGGTTGGAGCTCGACGCGAAAACTCAGACCTGAACCCTGACGGTCCGCAGTCTGGCTGCGTAGTGGCCCCGGCGTACAACCGAGGAAAGACAACCCGCCGTGACGGCTCTCCCGCCTGGCGGGTAATACTGGAAGAAGGGGTAATGTGGGCGGTACGATGGGCGGCACCAATGCGCGGAGGTGGTCCGCGAGTTACTCGCGAGATCCCGTTGTTATGATTGTTATGAGTGTCCGAGCTGCCTCCCGCGATGCACTTTGGGGGTGGTACGCCCGCGAGAGGTACCTCTGTCCGTCTCCCTTTTTCCAGCGGGCTTGCATCTCCCTCGCTCTGTAATATAACCACCACGAGCTCGAACGAGCTCGTAACCGTGATGCAAATCAGCCCGACGGGGCTGGTGAGTTCGCCGGCGGGGATGCCCGGGAGGAGCGATCGGCACCGTGGACCGATACGAGACTCCCGGAGAGTCCGCCGCGGGAGGAAAGATGATGATCGGTACATAGGTAGCGGTGTGATTTTAAGGACTGATCGCTGGAATCGAGAGGACCAATGTCGTCGGTTGGATAGTTGAGCGGTAGGAAGGTCGCAGGTGTCGTTGGAGAACGTTTCGTCGGTGACTTCGCGCGTTACTAGGGGTGGTCCGGCGGATTTGCTTACGGCCCCCAAAGACTTGTTCACCGTCCGATTACCTAACTTTTAATGTTTAATGATGGAAAGTGACAGAAAAATCTATGAATACATTAACCCATTATAAGATTATGGGGTAAAAATACGGACCAAATAGCATTTGGGACAAGCAGAAACGTACAGTGTGTTTGACTTTGATCGACAGTACGTGAAAGATTATTCCAGCAAATTATATTTTCTTTTTCCTATGTGGACGAAAAGGATGCAATGAAAGCGCGTTCACGATAGTAACGTGGTAACCATCTCGCTGAGATGTCTGGTGTTTTATCCTATCACGGGAACCAATATGATCTCGACGATGATGTCTGTGTCATTTCGATCGTTGCTCAAGATGGATGGGGATTGTTACGAAATTGCGACGGAGGCTTAACACGTGACAGGTGCGTACCGCGGAAATGGCAGTCCATTTCTACTTCAATTCCTGTCACGTAATTACGCAGTTTGGGTGACTTTATACCAGCCGAGTAACTCCACTAATGTCATTGGATTCATTCGGGCATTAACTTTTATGGTCAATTACAAGGACGTCGGGACGCAATGTTCTCGCGCTTTCAACCCTCCGATGACGTGACCGAAAGAGTATCGCCAGCTATAAGCCTTTAATGACATTTCAGCCATCAATATGGGATTTTTGTACATCACCGTCTTCAGTGATTTTGTACGCTGCTATCTTCTATAAAACATGCGTTCGCTAATGAACCTACTTAATATCTCCATCTATTCCAATAAATCATTAATAAGACTAATAACTCGTAATTAAGATCTAATAAATAAAGAAACAATTAGTAAAATATATTTTAATGACATTCACATTTGATTGATTATCACTTAATTATACTATCATGTATCTACTAAAGAACACTCACAACAATTCTTAAATATTAATTAACGTATATCGCGTCAATACCAGGTGTAATATTAAAAACAAGAAAATGCGGTTAAAATCTTTCGATAATTCTAACTGTCGCAGTTGTTGCCAATCACAAGATCGACTCGAACGCGATTTCGACATCAAATGTCGTAGATACCAGATCCGACCTTAACTTCAAATCAGAGAGAGAAATTACCAACATGATTCGATTACAAATCCATTCCGATTCGTACAAAATCGTGGGCGTACGGAGTTACACGCTGCGCGAGCTAGAGAAGGGTGCGTTTATTAAGATAGAATTTTACCCCTTTCCTGCCTACGTGCCGCCCTCGCCGACGCCACTGACACCGTCCGCACCCTCGGTGTTTTAATGCTCTCCCCTCGATTTCTCCGACGTCGACCCCGACCATATTCCGGCGTGATTCGACCCTTAGACACGATTCGAGCGACTCGATGGCCAGTTCAGTTTAAATACTGGTTCGCGTCTTTCTAAAATTCTCCTTCTGTCACATCGCAGGTCTTATTCGTGCAGTTGTGACCACAAATTAATACATTTATTTAAGAACTGTCAGCATTGAGTCGATTGGTCTTCTTTCTATCGATTGCATAATACAGGTAGACTGCGATTAGGCTCTAGAAAATCCAATGATGAGCTCATCCATTTACCCGGTAAATTGCGCGCCCGCCAGGGCACAAACGTTCAACAATTTACATATCACGTCGTTGTGTGCTGTGATAAAGGTTAAATTAGTTTTGCAATTTGAATAGTGTCGGAATAAATAACGTAACTTGTTTGTATTCCTTCATAATTGTTGTACGAGCGACCGTTTGCAAGTTTTGATGAAATCACTGTAAAATTAATGACTACGAATGTGGCGTTTCAACCGCTGTGGACAAGACTCACTCGTGAGGCTAAACATCGGAGTTTGAACTGATCGGATGCAAGAGAATACAGGTGATTACGAAGAAACGTTTCTTTCCTTCTTTAATAAGCATCAATTAGGGACTTATAATAAAATCATTTACCATTAGTAACAGGTGTAAAGTCGCATTATCGCACGGTCAACGTGACTCAACGTGCGCGTCAACGCGCGCATAGATCGTCCTTTTTGTCCGACGTGCGAGCACATCGAGCGTCGACGTGGAAGAAGGGAAAGTCTCTTACACGAAATATACGAGGAAATGAATGAATACCGCCATCCTTCTTCCTCCCGAAGGTCCACGTGCTTTTCACATATAACTCGTCCCCGTGGAGGCAGGAGTGTAGCCAGCTGGTGGTTGAAGTTGTAGGAGTCGGCAGGATGTGGGTCTCTACTCTCTCGCCCTGTTCCTTCCATCCCGCTTTCCCACTTTCCCGCAGACGTCTCTCTCCCTCTCTCTCTTTCTCTTTCTCCCGCTCGTGCCGAACCGGCGACACTCGTTCCACTTCCTGCGACGCGTCTATCCTTCTCCCCGCTTCTGCCGACGGTCTCCCTCGCTCTTCTTCCTCCACACGCCGCCAACTCATCCCCCACGCTAGGGTGTTCCGTCTTTCTCCCCCGTCCCACCGGATCGATTAAAACTACAAAGTGTTGCCTCTCCATCCGTTGGTACGCTCATTCGTGGTCGACTACATTGCTCTGGCACTCTCCTAGCGGCACTGGGTTACCAACTCTTTCCCAGCTTCCTCTCTGTCCCTCCGTCCTCACCCTCTCTCTTTCTCTCGCACGGGCTGTTCCGTTTTTCTCCTTTCAGCTCCACCGCCGTCGCCTCTTTTTTCGTCCTTTTATCGGAGGATCTCCGTATTCATGGGCGTTCGCTTCGCTTCCTGATAATCCCCGCGTAAAACTTCTCCGTCCCGCCGGGATTGCCCTTGCCGTGCGCGCTACCTTTCTCCATTCCGTTCGCGTGAGGGACACCGCTCGCGCGCGCGCCACTTCTCACCTCCAAGTTTTCGTTTCACGGACGTGGGACACAACGAGCTTCTTTGCATTCGTTCACCGCATTTGTTGACCGCTAAATTGATGCTGCAAGGTATCTTGGCGAAAATACGCCTCGGACACTGTGATTTCCGAAATCGAGTCTCTGCACTTCTTTGAAATTGATCGTCGTTTCAATAATTGTATCGTTACAGATCTTAAATTAGCGTGTAAATACGGAGCTTAGTAAAAGCAAAGTTGCTTCCTGCCAGTCGATATAATTAGCAAGCGGATTGATCTTCGCCGATGTATTTTCGGCCAAGAGTGGTCGCAACATAGAAGTAAAACGTGCAGTCTCCGTAGTAGCGAGCCAGGAAGATTAGTGGGATCTTCCTCTTGGGTGAAAGGTAAAGCGCGATTATATCCCCGGGGCCCCGGCGGTATCCCTCTCGGGGCCTTGCTCGCTTTAAGTCGCAGCAACGTGGCTAATAACAGAGCCAGTGGAAGCCAAGCGGTCTTTACGACCATCTTCCCAGAAGTATAAACCCTGGACCCTCTCCACACTGCCCGTCCAGCTACGTCCAGCTACGTCCCACCTCTTTCTCTCTCTCTTTCTCTCTCTCTCTCTCTCTTTGAACATCGTATAGGCCCGCGAAATTTTGCAAGGGCTAATTAATGCGAAAGGCCCCGACAACAAAGTTGCTCGCGTGATCGCTCTCTTAAGTATCGCCACGGCCCGGCTCTGTGTTGGACAACACGAAGAGAAGCAACTGATCCGAGAGAATGAAGACGAGTGAGAATAGGGGCGCCAAGAGGAGAGCCAGGGCGAACAAAATAATGATCCTTGGCGACGATCGAAGTGGATGTTATGAATATTGTCACGAATATATGTAAAATTCTCGCATGCTCTTCAACTTTCTTTATGCGCGCGCCGGATGCAGTATGAGCCGCAAGACGAAGACAAACGGCGAGAGAAAAAGGGAGAAGTATCGTGCTTCTGGCGGAAGAAACTTCTTCGCGTGACCACGTAATGAATGGCGGAAGATTATTCCAAAATTGTTTTCTTATGTCGTCTTCAACTGCGCGAGAAGAAGCGATAGCAGGTGTTCAACGAAGATAATGCTCGGAGATGAGCGTCGTGTACAGCGACGGGTATTTCGGACGCAGCTATCCAAAGGAACATCTCTTTGTGATCGTTTCCCCACTGACCGATAATTTCGCACCTCATTGTTGTATAATAACCGTATAGCAACATTGTGGTATCCTTCCGATAACCACTTCCGATCAAGAAACTTTCCACACCGCAGCACAGGAAGATTTCACGAAACACGAATTTCGTGGGACATCGCCGCGCACAACTTGAGTATTCCTTTCACACTTGGCCGTGCTTCCTTTTTGCATTGCTGTTGAATTACTGGCTGGCACGTATAGCATGTGTCTGTAAGACATTTTTGTTTTATAATTCTTTTTTATCACGGCATTCGCGATGACCGTCTTCTCTATATCGACAGGAGTGAATTTTATACACAGGAAAATACATATTGCATTGAAGTAGATGTTACTTGTTTCAAATATTTCATAAGTATATACTCGCAAATTCATCGTAAATTT